CTATACTATGTGTGTTGAAAGATGTGCACTGGAAATAAAGCAAAATCTGCCACATTGCATCACATACAAGCAGGAAGGCAAGAAGCCACATACAAGAGACTGTGTCAATAAGTCAAATTAATCTTACCATAAGGAAATCTCCAGATTTCTGAAGCAGCCAGTAGACAGCATACAATTCACTCAGCTGTCTCAGCACTGTCTTGAGAGCACTGGACACATTCAGTTCCACCACACTCTCAACAAACTTATCCACGATAATGGCACGAGCATGAGCCTATAGAAACAGAGTTATCACTGTAACTACAGGAACTTTTTCTCTTCTCTGTGGATAGTACACATATATTACTGTAACTGCCTCTGTCTTATTCTTTTGAGTATAACCCCACAAAACTTCTATCCATCATGCCATGAAATATGGGAATGTGAAGCTAAAGTGCCATGTGATCTTGACACTAGCAGCAGCAGACAGGTAAGTTATCAGCTTCATGCTTCTGGGAAAAATGCCCTGATATTGAGTGGGCAGAAGGCTGGGTAGATCCCAGATCTGTTTTAGATGTGTTACTGAAGAGAAAAATCCCAATGCCCTTATCAGGAACTGAAACCCAGTTTTCCTATCAACATGATTTATCTTTTCCTAACAAATCCTAAATGCCAGTTTCATTTTGTTTGCAATCTGCAATAAAATATGATTTCTCACTTGCACAATGTGTGTGTTATTTCTCATTCAAGAAAATACTCATTATCTTATGTATAAAGTAAAGTTTTCATGCAGAGTAAAGTCGATGAAAGACTCTCATGTTACAAGCCGCATCAGATAGCCTTTGTACAAAGGACCAGATTTGTTATGCAGCAGCCCTGAGGATGAGAGCAGAGATTGCTCTCGAAACGTTGGCATAATATATGGTTTATTCACCATTCGGCCACCTGACGGCTTGTAACCCGAGAGTCTTTCATCTACTCATTATCTTGTCTCCATTTTATAAGTGATTAATTTGGATATTTACACTAGTAGGTGTCCATTATTTCCTCAGTTTACTGTAACATCACTTTAACGTTGGAAATGTGGTAAGTCAAAAGAGTGAAGACCGATATAGTTTCTGTACACATATGTGAATAAATGTAACAAATGTCATCTGCGACAACTTACTTCTGCACACTGAGCAAGTTCTATTGATGTCATATTCCATGCATCCTCAGGAGATATGCCTCCTCGGATCCTCCTGTCCATGTTCTCAGCACACATTTTGATTTTTCTGCAAGAAAACTCTTCAGAATGAGAATCACCACATTCTTATCAAGTAACACTTTCTTATAGAATTATCTTTCCCAATATAGCATTCTGTAAAACTTTATATATTGTGGTTTTGTGATACCAGGAAGTTGATATCACTAATTACATATCACCCTCACTATAAACATAATTTTAAGGAATTTACAAAGCAATGTGAGAAAGGATACCACAATGATAAAAATTATAGACAACAAAAATAAGCAACCTACGTATACTTCAACAAGAAGACAACTACATCTTACCCTGCTGCCACTTGTTGATAAGCCCTAATAATGCACACTGTAGAGTTCTCCCAGTACTGTGGATTATTATTTCCAGAGACTGCTAGCTTCAGGTATGCCACAGTGGGGGTCATGGCCATGCCGCCCACAGCCTGTTGCCATGCCTTCATGAGGTATCTAGCAGTCTGAAGCAACATCACAGTGTTCTCTCCCTCGTACGTGCAAGCTGCTGTGACAAGCCCATATATAGAAGGCATACTACTGCAGGTCATGTAGCCATGACCTCCACAGGACAGACGGCATATCTCCACACCCTGAGCAGCATCTGCAGTGCAGACTGCCTTCAGACAGCATGAAAGTGCATGAAGCTGTCAATAATGTAAATACACAATGTAAGAATTGAGGTCCCCACAGTGGTGAAGATATCAATGCTGGTCTTCAGGGCTGCAATGCCATGTGATCTAACAGGTAGATACCAGTGTTCTGGAGGAAAATATCTCCATCTTCATCTTCTACCTACAAGTCCATGGTGTTACAATCCAGAAGACCAACAACATACATGCACAATGTTTATTCTGACAAGAACCAATGGAATGAATATGTAAGTGGTTCTGGTTCAGTGTTCCTCACACATTTTACAGCTTTCCTACTTGAACCTGTTTTCCCAAAAATGTCACATGGAGTTATATATGCCAAATCTTAGCTGTACATGTAATTAAAAACAAATAATCCTTTCATGAAATTATAACAAATATTCTGGTATATTATATCTCAGTTTAGTACCTTTCTCATCTACCTTCAGTCACATGCCTACAAAGTTTGTAGCATATGAAGTATGTCCTCAAACAACACTAGTAAAATATACCTGTTACTTTATTTCCCTTATTTTTAAGTTAGAAATTTTTGTTAGTTTAGAAGGAAATGTAACGCGGCCAAGGTCAATGGATTTTTAAGGGTGATGAAAATCTGTAGCACAACTTCCTTTGGAGGGGAAGATTTACGGCATGTAGAAGAACCTTACGAGCATGAAACAAGATGTTTTGTAAGCAAAATTCAGCAGCCATTTCTTACCCAAGTCTCTTCTGATTCACTACTAGATGGCTCTAGCAGTCAAATCAGGACTGAGTAGAAATTGTTCAGAGGCAGTGGGCTGGTCACTGACTAATCACAAATGCACGCTTTAAAGACTAGGAAGCCTCCAAAAAGGAGGCAGCAAAGACCCATAACTGGGTTGTAGAGCCAAGAAAGAAGAAGATGAAGAAGAAAGAAATGTGGATTTTTTGCAAGTATATGGTATGTTCTACACATTTTCATTATGCCATAAATAGCTATTAAACAAAGTCAGAAATTCCAAAGTACTGAAACTAGCCATCAATGTGATTACTTTGCATAAAAACTATCAGGTAAGTGGAATTTATACTGGTCTAAATTATGGGCAGAAATAGAACACCATATTCATATATTATAATTCTTTACAGCCTCCCTATATAAATGGAAGTATCTGAAGAAAATTAGGCATGAAAGTTTCCTTCCAGAACTCCTTTCATTTGTTGTCAGTATACCACAAAATATCATAATCTCTGCATAAAAAGGACTAATCAGCTATTGCTTTGACCATCATTACTCCTTAGAAAAAAGTCATGAATTCACTGGATAAGAGCCTGGTTGGAATTCAATAACTGATTCTTTGATGATTTAGTAACACATTTTTAACTGCAGAGGAAATCAAATGTTGGGATGATTAAGGGATAAACTGAGAGCATGCAGACAGAAATGGCTGTGGCACATTTTTAACATACTTTCAGAGCATAATCCTGGACAGATTTGGGAAAACAAAGAAACACCTCAGACACATGACCTTCAAAATAAACAGCAGGGGTGCTAACAACTCAAACATTACGCTGATGACAATCAAACCACAGATGTCCAGCCCATCTCTATCTATATTAATCTGTATGAATGACCTATTATGGCTCACTGGATATGAAGTAAATGAACAATGGAAAATTAAGAATTATTTTGTGGTTGCTCAAGAGATAACAGCATTAAAATACATATCTGAAATTGTTCTAAACTATAGGTCATACAGTACTTATATTTGGTCTTAAGAAAAAACATCCATACCTCTGGCAGTCTATCCAAATCTCCATCTTCAAGTTCAGCTGTAACATTGTTGTACATATTCCACAGCCAGATGGCATTGAATCTCAGGGCAAAGCATGCTGCCAGGTTAGGGAATAATTTGTACTGTTGTGTCAAATAGTCCATGATCTGTGGTTCTGGTTCACTGAAAATGACATTCATACTGCTCATATAACTGTAATTACTGCTTATAATTTTCCTCTACATTCTGACAAATCAAACAATAATATGAGTCCAAGTTCAAGTCTCAGATGACATTAAATTTTCTTCACTAATGTTGGTTGAATTTACTTTCTAGGTTAAGACACAGCCTGTTTGAGACCGTATTTTAGTTGTGTGCTGATTTTTGCTCACTGATTATTCTTAAGTTACCTAGTAACAATATTTCAACTGCAAAGATTACAAAATATCAAAATGATCATGAATGGTGATTAGGAAGGTTCTGAAAGGCAACAGTAATGAACCAGTCTTAAAGTATTATCTTGGCACTCTTCTGGATGAACTGAGGAAATACCTGACACAGTTAATAATAACCCAAATAAGATTCAAAAGGGATAAATCCAAAATACATGCCAGTTCTCATTTTTTAAGTAGTTCAGTTTGTGTAGGGCATAAAGCCCTGTAAAAAAGGAACACTTTCACACTCACACAAGAAGAATTATTAAGTGTGTTATTAATTAATGCAATAAGAAGTTGGAGCTGATGAAATTAAGAGCAATGTGATGAAAAGAAATTTGTGTATTTCCAATTGTATGGAAGAAAGCGAATGGACTGTGTCAGAAGAATCTGAAAATATATTCAGGTAACAGGCGACTTGAGTCACCACCTGAAATCTGCTTCTGGAAGAACAGAGCTGAATTTTCTTGACAGATGAACACATGTAAGGAAGTGGAGCTCAACACTAGATGACTAGACTGAAGTTAGTGACATCAATAATGGAGTAACAGTTATTTTGTTCAATAAAATCCTCTTGGGCCAGTTCAGCTGCCATGAAAACTTCAAATCTTATAAAAATTATTTTGTTGTAAGCTCGAGTATGTATGGCAGAGTGAATGCACTAGATTTAATTAGTGACAACAAGAATGGCATATCAGATATTTTATTGTTATAGTTCCATTTCTATTCTTCTTCCTCTTTTTTGTCTTTACCAGATTAGGCTCTCTGGTCTGTTCCAATTCAGAATTAACTTCTGAAACCCTGAATCCTTTCAGAAACATATGGTAAAACTCTTGGATGAGGGATTGGCCTGTCATAAGGCAGACCACAACACAGAGACATGTGGACAAACATCCATGCCTTGAATGGGATTCAAACCCATGATCCCAATGTTCAAGCAATCCAGAACCCGTGCCCTAGACTGCACGATCACTGTGGAGGCATATTTCTGTTCTTAGTAAATAATAAGAAATTTATTAATTTGCACATAACTCCATTCTCGATTTACTGTGACATACAAACAGTGGTAAAAATCATTAAAAAACTATGCTGATATTTTGTAACTTGCACAGCACATACAAGATGGCATTGCCAACTGCCTTCCTATCTCTTCCTTGGAAGACAGTACAAACTACAGTCATCGCAATGTTATGTTCCGACTAACCCCGGCTTCAACTCAGACTGTCTCCTCACTGCACTGTAACGTATGGCTATTGTAGAGGCTTTAGACAGGTACCCAGCCATATCTTGAAGAATGATGACTCTTACAAACATCATGGTTCCATATGTGAGTTTATCGCTTGGAGATTTTACATAGGTTCCATCCTGAAATGTAAATTAAAATGGCTTCATTAAAACATACCTCTGAACTGAATTTTGAGATGTGAAAGTGTACCAAATTTCATCTGTCCGTTCAATGGTTTCAAAGACAAAACATGTAGATGACTGGAGAAACAGATTCAACATCCATACTGCATGTTCACAGAGGACTTCAGAATTTTCCTTATGTGATCAGTAAACATTACAGACAATGAATTAATACACATTACAGCATCAATCAACAACAAACTTTTCTATCATTGAGACAAACAATCAACAACAGTGCTGTAATTTTCAGTACTGAGATCAAGTAATGACATTAACACAACTTTACTGATGGCATTCACAACTTTAAACAACTTTTCCGAAGAGGCAATGTTTCATATGATTTGTCTGGTAAACAGACTTAACTGATGAAGTTTGGCTAGTAAGTCACCTCATCAAATCATTACACATGAAAGGGACACATCAAAAGTGGATGTATGGTTTGGTATGATGAAGGACTGCATCATTGGACCTATTTTTTAAGATGCTATGGTGACATGTCATTCATACCTGGCAACGTTAGAACAGTATGCTGTCTCAAAATTACCTACTGATGCAGTTTCAGCAGAATGGGGCACAGTCAAATTTTGGTTACAGTATCAATAAAATGTTATATAAACACTTCCCAAACAATCCTATCAGAGTACATAAAGAATAAGAGAGAGTTGCAGACCTTCTGGCATTGCAACATCACTTCACAGAGGTGACTGCAAGTGACAGTTGCCATGCTTGAGAACACATTTCAGGAGATAAAGCACAATCTTTATGTTGAGCTACGGCTACAGAAAGTACCCATAATGAAACATGGCAAATGATACCAACATATAGAAAATAAGTTGGACATTTATAGTACTGAGGAGCCAAGTTGTTTTGTCTATGTAATAAAAATGTTTCAATTTGTGAATTTTTTAACACCTTCTTGGACACTGCATTATGAGTCAGGAGTCTGCAACTCACAAGCATTACCACTTGAGCTAACGTATTTAATAATAACAAGGCCTCACTACAAAATGAATATTTAACTGATTTGACCAATAAGTAAGCCACACTAGTCTTAATATGCTTGCTTGGATTACAGCTTAGTCAAGTTTCTGAACAAATCTACAGGAAATATCAAGTTAAATTAACACACATTGTCTTTTCCAAGGACATCTTGTGTAAAACTATGATGCAATCAACTAATAAAAAGAAGGAAGACAGTTTTATGAGTCCATTTCTTATTGTGATATAACACAAACAAGTACATACATATTATGATTACATTCCCTGGAGGCTCACATTAGTCACATAACAACAGGATGTAGAACAGGTCAGAAAACAGAATGACAATATTTGAAAACAAAGTGCTAAGAAGAATACAAAGACCCAAGAAACAGGAAATAAGAGGATGACAGAAACAGCTGCATAACAAGCAGCTTCATAATTTGAACTTTTCACCAGATATTATTACAGCTATCAAATCAAGAAGATGATATTTGTGAGACATGTAGAATATGTGTAAGAGATGAGAACTGTATTTAAAATTCTATATTGAAAACTTGAGGGGAAAATATTAATTTGGCACAGATGGGAAAATAATATTCCATACATACACTGAAGTATTACTTTGCTTTACAATCAACATAAAATCCTACAGAACTGTTGTGCCAACAGCCTTATAACCTGAAAATCAAAGATCAAAAGTTAAACTTTAGTCATTATATCTTAAGAGTTTATGAAAGATAACTGTCCAACCTGTAAAATACAACTGCAATGTCATGTAGACAAAGTTTACAAATCACTAATTGTCAAAGTCCAAGTAAGCATACTTAGACTAATCTTAATGGTCTCTACACCTCTGGCTTCATACTCTGGTATATGATTACAACACATTCCCAACCAATGGACCAAAGTGCACCAATAATACAAGTTCTGCAGATCTATTATATTCCAATATGACCAGTGCCTAGGGGCTGCTTTTATTGCATTCATTGCTTATACTGTATATTTATATAGCCTGTATGAGAGTTATCTACAAGTACACTTTTTCCTGTCCCACAGAAATAAAGAAAGTGGTCTAACAATTAGGGATGATATAAGAGAAGACAATTTTAATTACTATGTAGACATTTTCCCAAAAGCAGGTTTTCTGTGCTATTTATCCCACTTCAGTTCCCTTTATGTTTATTTACAGCAGATATAATCAACTGCCATATGGCTAATCACATTACACATTATTTTTCCATGTATTTCATTAAATATTCACTGCAATCAGAAGTATTTCAAATAAACATTGTATAACATACGTCTTTAAACCATACGGCAGTTCTTGTGTAAACAATCCATATCTGAGAAAATCAATGGAAAGTCATCAGTATGGATCAACGGGACACCTTCTTTAGGCCTGAGATTCAAAATAATCACCAATAGCCAGGGCTACTACTTAAATCTGTTACCTCCCCAACACAATACACACACCTACAGTCTAGCTGCATGCTTATCCAAATATGCTAAGTGCATCAGCATATTTATGCAACTGTCAATAGGAATCAAAATTCTCACTGAACGTCAAAGTTTCACAGTGGTTGAGGGAGACACTCCAGTTTCCTCACTATCTCAGTCTAGTGGTATATTTATTGAAATGTATATGTTATTCTCATAACTTACATGGTCTTCATCTAACTGTTGGAAATTAAAGTTCCAAACTTTATTTAAATAGACTATGTTAATTTTGAGTTTATGGTGAATTAACATTATTAAACTGTTTCAAACAGATGTTATAATTATGGTTATTCACTTTGGTTATTTTTTATTAAATAGTAAAAACTGTATACTGAGATTTTTTTTTACTGAATATGAATGGGAACAATAATTTTATTTCATGGATAAATTTTCAAGATCCATCAAAATCTGATGTAATGTATGCTGTACTATAACACAAATTAACTATGACTAAAGTTGTCTTAAACTCACATATGACAGTACTTCACAAGGAAAAACAAGAAATGTCTCTCTTGTAATAAGTGTGTAAATTCAGTATCTGTATAACTGGCACTACTCTATACACTCCAGTATAATAATTATATTCCTTACCTCTAGGACTTGAGCATTCTTCATAAGCATATGTTCACGAGGGATACGGACATTTTCGAAACCAAGGTATCCATTATTTGTTGCATTCATGCCCAATTTTGTACCAATTTCACCAATTTTAATACCTTAAAAGGGATAAAATAACAGTAAGATAAATGGCATATGAAATAAATTTTATAAAAGAAGGAATAACATACCTCTTCTTCACATTTAAACATAAAATGTTATAACAATGATAATGCATCAGAAGTTAGCTTCAAAACCCTCTCTTCCAGAAACCTATTATCTTATTTGCATGAATTTGTACATATGTTTAACCTTTATTGGTCTTGCAGTATGACTTAAGCATGGTTCAGTTGGCAATGTGTTCCATTTGGTCTTCTGTTAGGTCCACTTGTCCGAGGCTTTGATCGAGGTTTCGAAACATCTTCCTTTTTACGGTGCAAGGTTGTTAGCCTTGCGACCAACCCCCAACCTGGAGGACCAGGGTACCTGTCTTAGTCTGACCTCTCCCCCTCGACCAATCTGGCTAGGGAGG